CAAGGCTTTGCAGCTTGGTATAATTGAATATGACAGAATTGGTGAAGCTAGAAAAGAAAAACAAAAAGAAATTGTACATCAGATAGAATCAAATGGCAAAAGTCATATGCTTGAAAATGGGAGTAAGCATGCTGCAGTGATGTGACCTTGGTTCGATATCCGTGTGGGTTCGATACGGAGGAATAATTGTTCTGGGGAACAAAACAATGGATTTTTTTTTGCATAAGCAAAGACAGCCTATTGTATTGTCCCCCAGAACAATTCCTCTAGGAAATCAAGGGGTCTATTGCTATGTATGCGAAGTACCCTAATATTAACATGATATCAAGTAGCTAAACTTACATACTTGTCTGTCATTTATCTGCTGGCTAGAACTTGACAGCATCATCACTATGACAACATAATGCTTGGCTGAGAGGCTGACAAACTGTTGAAAAAAGTCAAAGAGATCTGGTGAGTGTTGACTACAGTAAGCTAAGTTCAGATTGATATCTGTAAAACGGGCCCCTAGTAGGCCGACGCGCAGTCGGAGATCATACACAAGACTGGCCTTTATGAGGCTCTAAGTATTTATATAACTTGGATGTAATTTTATCTGTGATAAAGTAATCCTCATTAGTATTCTTTATGTACAAAGATGGATGTCTCATTATATAAAAATCCCTTGAATACTAATGAAGAGGACTTTATTGAGTAATTTGTGTGGTCACTAAAACACTGTCACAGCTTGTCTACAAGGGGACAGCATGGTAAACAACAATAAGAATAGCCCTCCTCGGCTCAGGCATAATGTTTTCCCATTTCAGACCATGTGTCATTTAATTTAAACAATGATTGTTTAACAATTGTACACGAGAAGATACATGAATATGGATGCAACTTAAACAAATATTCTTATTCTCAAGGGAACTACACATGGTCTGAAATGATGGGAAAACATTATGCCTGAGCCAACTAGGTTAATTGGGACTCCTTTTACTCTGCAGCTGAATTGATAGCTCTGATACTTCTGGTTTCCAAATATTTTATAAACCAGTGATTATTCCATAACATATCCAGTATTTGGCTGCTATTTATTGTTTGTTTTGATTCTAAAAAATACAATTTTTCCCACTTTTCTTTGTGCTGTTGCTTTTCTGCCCCCCTACTATGGTTCTTAGTATTGAAACAAGATTCTTTGCATTTGACATCATAATAAAATAGAGCAACAAAATATAAGAGTTTGAATCATTCCTTAAAACAATACTTTGCTTGGAAACTGTAGTTGGTATTGTAAGAGAGTTGCTATGTATTGGTAAACTTACTTGTTTATCATGTTTGCAGACTGTCCAGGCCTTGACAACATCATCACTATGACAACATGATGCTTGGCTGAAGATGTTGACAACCTGGTGAAAAAAGGCAAAGATATTGATTTTAGTTCATGYGGCATTCCCTTGAGTATTATTTCTTTGTGTAATGGCTGTGCATGTGTTGTTTTTACTTTGCAAATAAGGTAAAGGTCTACCCAATAATAAAATATAGGTGAAATTCATGCTCATTTTCTTTTACTAACATCTGTTCTTACAGTTTGACTACTATAACCGGGGCCACCTAGACAGCGAGAACCAATCATATTGTAGAATGAAAACAATACAATCCAACATCAGGATCAAATTACGATTCTCATGCTGTCTAGGTTTCTAATTGGCTCCACTACCCAAAGTTGGAATTCATTGTTTTCATTCTACATTTTAGTTTGTTTTCTTGTCTAACTGTTCAAGTGGTCCCAGTTACAGTAGTTGCAATGTAATGAAAACAAAAACAAAAACAAATAACTAATTTGGAATGGATGCATTTCTATATTCTCTAACATAGCTAATAGTTTAACTTACTTGTCTGTCATACATCTGCTGGCAATAGCTTGATGCAATGTAGTATCATCACAATCTAATGATGACACATACCAATACTTGTCATCAAGCTGTTGAAAAAGTGAAAGAGATCTGTTTAGAAACCTGAAACAATTATAGATATTTGTTGAAATGATTATATTACTAGCAGATACTAGTTAAGACTACATTGTATAAATGTTCTATAATGTGGGTATAATCCATGTCAATCCTTCAGTCCTGTCAGTATAYAGTACTGGTCAGCAGTAGACCATGTTGTACAGTGGGAACCCTGTGGTTGTCTGACATCTACCATGTTGGCTTTGAGAAATAATAGCCCATAGAGTGCCTCAACAAAGCATTGTATAACTAACTTATGTATGAAATTGTTCTGCAGAGTAATATACATACCTGATGATTAGCAATAAACTGCTGCTTGGGATATGAACAATATTTTTGTGGCAACAAGGTGAGTCCATATTGTTACAGGTCACAGGGTCATCAGGTTGATATTCAGGTCAACACCCATACAGCAACAAGGGAAGTCCATATTGTTATGAAGGTCACAGGGTCATCAAGTTGATATTCAGGTCAACACCCATACAGCAACAGTGTGAGTCCATATTGTTATGAAGGTCACAGGGTCATCCCCAGGTTGATATTCAGGTCAACACCCATACAGCAACAAGGGAAGTCCATATTGTTATGAAGGTCACAGGGTCATCAGGTTGATATTCAGGTCAACATTCATACAGCAACAAGGGAAGTCCATATTGTTATGAAGGTCACAGGGTCATCAACAGGTTGATTTACAGTTCTATACTCATAGACAACATTGTATCAAGTGTTTTTGCTTCTTGTTTTAGTGCATTATACCCATCATTACCAGATTAATACTGAAGTATTCCATTATATGTTGGTTAGAGTCAAGATGCAGTATGGTAATGAGGTTCAGATGTCAGGTTTCCATCTTGTTACAGATCACTGGACAGCCTTATGGAGTGTTTCACGTGTAAGTTATACTTTTAAGACTGCAATACGATGAAAGATAAATCATTAGGACATTAATATTTAGAATTTTCATGGTTCTAACGAGGGAGGGGAGGATTTAAAMTTTCACGAACCAAGTTTCGTGTAACGATGATGACCAAAGTTTCAAAATATGGATAAAATGAAAATATACTCAAATTAAGCTTACAAACTGTTTGAAAACTTTCTAAAATTACATATTTGTGGCAAATTTAATTGTATTTTGGAAGAAAAAGTGAAACTCTTAGAGTTCAAAGCCAACACGTGTCATGGCGGTCAATCGAACATTCGAAATCTACAAACTGGTTAAAAATACGGAAAAACGCCAGAATAACGCAGAAAAACACAATAATTCTTACCTTTCATAGTTCTCGTGTCCTTATCTTTCAGTTAGATGGAGCACGAGCTAATAAAATTTTTTTGTTCTTGTAAAAACTTCTCTTTATATTTCCACAGATTGACACACGTCGAACTGCGAAGGAAGCAAGTTTGAAATGAATTGAAATGATCACAAGGGCCTGGAACTAGCATTTTCCACAGGGATCCCACAAAAATCTTGATTTGTTAGCGAAAAACAGACGGTTTTCGAGCAATATTTTTTGCCTGAAATGTGAAACATGACCAGAAAAGGCTATATTCGTTCCCTACGGAGGATAAAAACCCGAAAAAACGCTTATTTTAGGCAAAAAACACCATTATGTTATTTAGTCACGTGACCAGTCACGTGTCCTTTAATTTTGTGTTTTTTAAGGCGTGATTTTTAAATTTTCATAACAAAAAAAAAATCGTGGGTTTGAAATAATCCTTTCATTTGAATTCATTAGATCACGCAGTTGATAATAAAAGAACATCGAACCTTTATTGTGTGATATTTATTGTCTGACCCATAAAAATAAAAAATAAAAGAAATAAAACAACAGCTGAAAAATATCCTTTAATGTCTAGACTCCACCCGACCAAAAATAAAATACACCCAGAGACAAAGAGGAACAAACAAAGATTTCAAGACGCATGAAGCGCCAACATTTTTTATTACACTTTGATAAATTATCAAGTTTATTAACCTAATGCGGCTTCGCCATTTCGCGCGCCTGTTTTGATTTTAAGTTCCTTTCACACAATGAAACTTAAAGAAAAAAATTGTGAACAACTTTTGGTTCTTATATACTCGTGCCGCAAACGAAACTTCGGGAGCAGGTTTCACTATGAAATTGTGCCGTGCTACGCCCCCTCGAATCTTGTCTCTTAACGACGTTGAACACGAAGTTTTAGCAAAAAGTTCTAGGCGTAAAACAAGAGCTTTATTTCTTGAAGCACAACAGCACAGAGCAACCGTTTGATACTAGTAAAATATGCGCATTAATTTGTTCTCCTTTATTTCAGTTTGAATAAGTGATTTCAAGCTTAGAATAAAACAATTCCCGAGGGAATAACACGTGACTTTACTACACAACGCTCAAAGTAATCAAATACATGACGTCATATTTGGGTGAATACGGTAGAAACCCGTGGAAGGTTTTCTTCTGTTTTGAAGAAAAAGGGCCACTAGCGTTGTGTTTTACTCACGTCGTTCCCTCGAGCATCATTTATTTCTTTCATAGAATTAACATTCTTCATCATGATACAATAAGAAGCAAGCCTTAAAGAATCTAGCACTTTATGAACAAGTGCCTTTATTGTTTATTGGTTAATCCCTTAGAATTACTTCTTTGTTTCTCTGTGACGGTCACGGTGTTGATGGGTCATTGTCCAGTCACTCTCACGATTATCCTAAAAACGAGCAGAACAGGAAAATACAAAAGAAATCACAGCTTTTCTGGTGTGGTATTTCTTTTGTTTTTCCTGTAAGACTCGCATTCAAGATAATTTTGAAAGCGGTGGTCCAGAGGTCTGGGGTTGGGAGGGGGCGTATAGTGACGACTGAGATTTTGTATTTTTTTAAAAGTATTTTAATAAGACTCACTTAATTTTGCATTGTTTTACAGTTAACATTTATATATAGTTCAAA